GCACTATAGAGAATGTCAAAAATTATTTAATATGATAATGATTTTATTCATTATTTTCATATATGCTCTTGGATTGCACACTAGTGTTGGATGGATTGCACCATAGTGATAGTCCGAATGCATTTTATCGACCATAAAAAACATTTGAACGAATGCAGTTGTTCTAATTTTCTGTTTTGCTCGATTACCTGTTGTTACGATTAAAACCGGATATACATAATACTTTAACATCAATAACACAATTTATCCACACAAAACACAAGCATGCTAATGTACCGAAATTACGGTAGTTCACATTCTACATCATCACATTGCACTTTATAAAACAACTCATTGCACTTTACAGAATATCAAGTTGCACTTTATCACGACCGACTGATTGGAAATTCAGATCAAAGCCGACCTAAATCAAAATTTTTTCAACCAAAAATAATATGAAATTATTAACATATTAAATATAATTTTAATATAAATAACAAATTAATTCGGTTATCCTAACTGAATAAACCAATAAATTATGTCCAATTTCAGTTTGATTTGGGACGAAAATTCGGTTGGTTGAATATGCACAATACAGATCGACATTGTGCACCATAGTGTTGGACGAATTGCACCTTAATAAATGTTGGATTGAACCGTATATTTCATTTACATACATACTAATTTATTTTAATTAAAAAATAATATAAAATATCAAATTAAAATATATTAAATACTAATCATGTTTTTTTATGATCAATAATATAATTTATGTCGTGTTATTTTGGTTATTTATGTTAACCAACAAATTAATCCGATTATGTCGAAATTTTCCGTTCGAATTTTTATATTTCATTTTGATTATTTATTTTTTACTTTTAAAGCGATAGACTTTTTTAATTGTTAGGTGGATGGATCAATGATACTTCTTAATGAATAAAAATGCATACTTACTCTAAAAAATGTCATACTTGCATTCATTATTTTTCTTAATGACATTTTAATATAAGTTAGAGTTGATTAATAGAAACACTCACCTAACAACAATTCTACTGTATTCAATATTCATGTTCCACCTGAGTTAATTTGTTGTTTGCCTAAATAGTACTTCAGAATTTAGACTTGTGATTATGGCTTGGAGTTCATGGTATCCCAACATATTGTAAATTATAAATTGCCATTATACATATATTAAAGTTTAGAAATTGCAAACTAGTCCCCCAAACATATCTAATTTTCCAAAACAAACCTCTACCCAAAAAAACCCTCCCGTCACTCGTCTTCAGCCAACATCGCGGCCGTCAACCACCGACCGCCGGAATCTCCGTTAGTCCGCTACATCTCCGCCATCCTCGCCGCCGCTACATGGACCAAATCAGCCCCAATCGCACACATAAAAAATGACTGTTGAAATACAATCGGCCCCACTGGTACTATGTTGAAATAGGCTCGTTGTCGGCTCATGAACGAGAGGTCGCCTGAGTCTCCGCCTCGTCGGCTTCCTCGCCGGTGCCTCCTGCGGAGAAGAAAGTGGGAGCAACGGCGCCGCAGGCGAGTTCGACGACGACCCGCCCGAGGCGGCTGGAGAGTGGTGAAAGAGTGGGGTCGCAAGCGCGGCAATTTCGGACTCGAACAGGCGGCCGGCGATTATATCGGCGGGAGGCTGTGCTTGCCGACAAACTACTCGTCGGATCTTGGCCAGAGACTACTGCGTCGCGGCGGATGCGTGGCGGTGACGCGGCGGATGCGTACCGGAGACGCGGCGGAGGTACGGTGGTGGCATGGTGGCGGCTGAGGTCGATACACCGGCGAGCCGCCGATGGAGGGATAAAATGAGAGAGCAGGTCCGGTGAGAGATAAAGGAAGAGGAAAGGTGGAAAGAGAAATTGAATTGGATTTGGTGATGTGGGACCTACCTAATTGGATGGTGTGTATAAAATTGCACAGTTGCTCTTAAGTGTTTTAATTTGACCAAAGGATGTCAAGTTATTTACTATAATGCCATTAATGATTGACCATATTTGACTTCATAATGTCCATTGATCGTACCGATCTAATGATCCAGAGTTATTCTTATTTCTTTCACTATATATATATATATATATATAGGGGATGGATCCAATGAGACCACTCCTTAAAATGAGTACGTGAGACTCAATCTTAGCCACTCATTTTGTCTAGATCAAAATCAATTAAAATATACATTAATTAAATAATAAAATAGTTGACCGTTGACTCCGGCGTTGACCGTTGACTTCCGGCGTTGACTTCCGGCGAGAATCGTTGACTTCCGGCGTTGACCGTTGACTTCCGGCGTTGACCCGTTGTATTGAAATAAATAACCTAGCAACAAAAGACACTCAACCTTGAGTGGTGTAGTGGTTGCATTGCTTGTCTTGCATCCATGAGGTACCAGGTTCAAATCCTATGGGTTACAATTTTTTTATAAAAAAAAAATACAACTAACTTAGCAACATCAGACAACTAACCTAGCAACAAAACACAACTAACTTAGCAGCATCAGACAACTAACCTAGCAACAAAACACAACTAACCTAGCAGCAAGAAAGAACAACTAAACTAGCAACAAAGACAACTAACCTAGCAACAAAACACAACTAACCTAGCAGCAAGAAAGAAATAACCTAGCAACAAAAGACAACTAACCTAGCAGCGAAAAGAAATAACATAACCTAACAATAAAAGACAACTAACCTAGCAGCAAGAAAGAACTAACCTAGCAGCAAGAAAGAAATAATCTAGCAACAAAAGACAACTAACCTAGCAGCAAGAAAGAAATAACCTAGCAACAAAAGACAACTAACCTAGCAGCAAGAAAGAAATAACCTAGCAACAAAAGACAACTAACCTAGCAGCAAGAAAGAAATAACCTAGCAACAAAAGACAACTAACCTAGCAGCAAGAAAGAAATAACCTAGCAACAAAAGACAACTAACCTAGCAGCAAGAAAGAAATAACCTAGCAACAAAAGACAACTAACCTAGCAGCAAGAAAGAAATAACCTAGCAACAAAAGACAACTAACCTAGCAGCAAGAAAGAAATAACCTAGCAACAAAAGACAACTAACCTAGCAGCAAGAAAGAAATAACCTAGCAACAAAAGACAACTAACCTAGCAGCAAGAAAGAAATAACCTAGCAACAAAAGACAACTAACCTAGCAGCAAGAAAGAAATAACCTAGCAACAAAAGACAACTAACCTAGCAGCAAGAAAGAAATAACCTAGCAACAAAAGACAACTAACCTAGCAGCAAGAAAGAAATAACCTAGCAACAAAAGACAACTAACCTAGCAGCAAGAAAGAAATAACCTAGCAACAAAAGACAACTAACCTAGCAGCAAGAAAGAAATAACCTAGCAACAAAAGACAACTAACCTAGCAGCAAGAAAGAAATAACCTAGCAACAAAAGACAACTAACCTAGCAGCAAGAAAGAAATAACCTAGCAACAAAAGACAACTAACCTAGCAGCAAGAAAGAAATAACCTAGCAACAAAAGACAACTAACCTAGCAGCAAGAAAGAAATAACCTAGCAACAAAAGACAACTAACCTAGCAGCAAGAAAGAAATAACCTAGCAACAAAAGACAACTAACCTAGCAGCAAGAAAGAAATAACCTAGCAACAAAAGACAACTAACCTAGCAGCAAGAAAGAAATAACCTAGCAACAAAAGACAACTAACCTAGCAGCAAGAAAGAAATAACCTAGCAACAAAAGACAACTAACCTAGCAGCAAGAAAGAAATAACCTAGCAACAAAAGACAACTAACCTAGCAGCAAGAAAGAAATAACCTAGCAACAAAAGACAACTAACCTAGCAGCAAGAAAGAAATAACCTAGCAACAAAAGACAACTAACCTAGCAGCAAGAAAGAAATAACCTAGCAACAAAAGACAACTAACCTAGCAGCAAGAAAGAAATAACCTAGCAACAAAAGACAACTAACCTAGCAGCAAGAAAGAAATAACCTAGCAACAAAAGACAACTAACCTAGCAGCAAGAAAGAAATAACCTAGCAACAAAAGACAACTAACCTAGCAGCAAGAAAGAAATAACCTAGCAACAAAAGACAACTAACCTAGCAGCAAGAAAGAAATAACCTAGCAACAAAAGACAACTAACCTAGCAGCAAGAAAGAAATAACCTAGCAACAAAAGACAACTAACCTAGCAGCAAGAAAGAAATAACCTAGCAACAAAAGACAACTAACCTAGCAGCAAGAAAGAAATAACCTAGCAACAAAAGACAACTAACCTAGCAGCATCAGACAACTAACCTAGCAGCAAGAAAGAACTAACCTAGCAACAAAAGACAACTAACCTAGTAGCAAGAAAAAAATAACCTAGCAACAAAACTCAACTAACATAGCAGCTACAAATAACTAACCTAGCAACAACAAACAACTAACCTAGCAAGAAAGAAATAACATAACAAAAGACAAATGGTCAACGGTCAACGTCGGAAGTCAACGGTCAATGCCGGAAGTCAACGGCCAACGACGGAAGTCAACGAGTTTCGCCGGAAGTCAACGGTCAATGCCGGAAGTCAACGGTCAATGGTCATAATAATATTTAAATAATTAAAAATAAAGAATTAAATAACAAAAATAAAAAATTATTATTTAAATCAAGATCTAAATCTTGTGGCTAGGAATGAGTCTCACGTTCTCACTTTAAATAATGGGATGCATTGGAACCAATCCCTATATATATATATATATAAATAGGATCATATGAGAATACAAGTTAATGAAAGAAGTGAGAATAAATAAGGGCCTTTGGATCTGATAAATTAACGGACAGATCGCGAACAGATCCCAGCCAATTCGCGGTGGCATTTTTGAAAATTAGTGAATCTTTATGGACTAATGTGAACATATGAGGGCATGATTGTAAATCACTTCTAAACAATAGAGGGGTTTGAATCTATGTCAGATTCAGTTTGAGAACGGCGAGAGGCGAAAGGGGTGAGTGAGAGCGAGACGACTCAGAAATCCTAATGGAGATGAAAGCTAGATTAGGGTTACAATCAATTGAGGAATGGCAACATATTGAGAGCGTAGGTAGAGTACTGAGTTGTTGTTTTCAGTCCGTGGAAGTCGCGCGAGAGCTCCCAGGTAGAGGCCTTAAAATCTCGATTGTGAAGGGCCAAGAGGATCAACAGCCTTTGCAGTTTGACATCATCACTTGAACAAGGGAAGGGGAAAAATGATTTTCTTGAAGAGAAGCTCCATTCATTGATTCCGGTAATGTTATGTCTGCTGTTTCGATTCATGTTTATTCTGTGATCGCTAGGGTTCTGGAAAAAGTTTGAAAAAAAAAAAGAAAATATATGTCCGTTTGAGTGAGGCCTATGGTCGAGTACTAGCTCTGTCAATCCAGATATTGTTCTAGGATTCCTAGCGTTGTTGTCTTTAAGGATAGTAAGAGTAACTATAGATATAGTCATTTATGATTTATTTATTTGCCTCCAGTTTGAGAATTAGCAACTTGCTAATAAAGGTGAAATATTATCCATTGGAAAGATTGTAAATTTTGAGTGTAGCTAGCACTCCAGGTCCAGGTGAACTCTAACCAATTTGATTTGCTTCATATGGAACATGTAGTTATTTTATTTATTGTTTGTTGTGCCATTTGATGTGGTGTTGACCATGGAAAATAGTTTCATATCCCGTTTGGTAATAAATGGTTGCTTTTGCAAAAGCCGAATCATGTTTATGATAGTAGCCTGATACCATGAATATATGATGCAAAATTTTGAATATCATGTGAGAGACTGCTTTTAAATTGTTCCCAACTTTCATTTCCCAAGATATTGATCTGTGGTGGGAGCTCATTTCCTCGGGAGCAGGATTATGCGAGGTTTATGGCAGATAGCACATAAATGCCGTGCGGTGTTGTTGTGTGACTTGGCTCAGGTTAGTGGTCTTGTAGCCGCATAGGTGAAAATTTTAATCCTTTCATGTGGGTTGATAGTTGTCTGTTTCTGCTGTTATTTAACTTGTGTGCATGGTTCTTAATGTGTCTGATTTTTCTCTGTTGACAATTGACCTTGCCTTGTATTAGTGTTGTCTGAATAGATACTATTAATGTTATTGTTATTTAGCATGCTATCCATATATGCATGTACTTTACTATTAGTTTAAAGGTTGTTTTGAATTCTTTCATGTTATCACATTATGATAATTGGATTTTGCTATATGTGGTGAATATCTGACTTTATAAAGCATCTGGTCTGGTAGGTAGGTTTGAATATATTAGCTTAAGATATGACAAGGCATCTTTATGTTGGTGCTTTTTTTTATTCTGCTCTACCCATTTTGCATTTGTATGTTTGTGGTAATTAATAGTCAATTATAAACTTGGCATCAATTAATATATTAACTTCTATATATCAGAATTTACCTTCTGTCTTCAATCTATTTTGGTTCTCCTCTTGGAGAAATTTTGATAACTTCATTAATACTGACAACCCTTTTCAGAAATGGCATCAATTGATATATTAACTTCTATACAAAGGCCAAGTCATGTTTAGTAGCTTTCAAGATGATCCAACATTTATTATTTCTTAATCAATTGTTGATCACAATATTGTTCTGACTTTAGCATGTATAGCATTGAATTTCTCCAAATTACTATATGTTGTCTCTGTCAGGCTTATGTTTTTTTTTTTACCTGTAAGAATAAATTATGAGTAGATAAAATTGGACTTTAGTCCTTACTGCATTAGGTGTCTATCATAAGTACCTTGAGTGGTGCAAGATGTATAAATTGGTATTTGACTGTTATTGTGGTGCTTGGACAATATATGGATACAATTTGTATAAACATCATGTGGAATGAGTAATGGCCTATCAAACGTGAAACTTAGATATTTATATTTATTGTTTTTCATTTATAGTTTTACGTAAAAAATACTAGACGCGAACGGTTGTTTTGTTATTTTGTTAGTTTGACAAGTTTGTGATAAAAGTTATAATGTGCTTTATATCATAGATTGTTGTGCAATATTTTATGCAGTAATGTGCAATTTAAGTATCATTTTTTACCTGGAATATATCTCTCGAGTGTCCCGTGCCAATGTTTGAATATTTCAAGATGACATATTTTTATGGCTTGTACGCTAATTGAATTTATCATATACGGAAGATATGCGAGTTATGATCATTTTGTATTCTTGTTGATGCTTAGTAGATTATTTTTTT